GGAGGTGGAAATGGGATTAATTAATTAAAGATAGGAGGGTTGTTGGTTTCTGCATGCTATTTCGTTAATTTACTGCAAATTGTTTGGTGTGCTTTTTAGAGTATTCACGTTTTTGGATGTGTTGTGCAAGGCGTGCAAGATCCTTTGTTTAAGAGGCTTCTCACAAATTAATTACAAACTTGATGCCTCTAGGATTTTATGAGGATTTCCTTTCTTCCTCTGCTTTGCTGCATGTTGAAATTGATTCATCTCCTCTCGGTGAAAGTTTTTTGTCCGTGAATGTGGCGATGATTCAGTTAATATGTAATTACCCTGTGTTAATGAAGTAATCTCGGGTAATTGAGTAATAAGGTTAATGAAGAAGGTACAAAGAAACGGAAATAGTATTTTAGCTTTTAGTATTAACGAACCTCGTAGAGTAGAGGTTTGAAAGTTTACTTTAGCCATGCATGAATACCATCTCATACTAAGGAATATATTATTAGGAAAAAAGTACAATCCTCTTGCATAGTTCCATTAAAACTCGAAGTATTTCCACAATTATTGACTGATATCCGCATTTTTACAATTGAAAATCTTGAAAGAGAGCATCGCAACTCTATTATCGATCGAGCTGTTTGATTTGCATATGGCCCTTAGTCAAACCCTATTAGGAGTTAGTGTTCGTACTTTGCATATTTCACATCAAAAGCAAGCATTATCTTCACGTCCCATATACGTGTAAACATATATTGGCACATGATTTGCGTTCATATTTAAATCGGAAAGTAATTAGCAAATACTGTTTCTTCTTCTTCCTCCTCCTCCTCCTCCTACCATCTCAGCTGAAAGTATGATGCGTTCACCCCCTCGAGCCGGTCGGTCAATGAGCCCTGAAGCAGCTCTGTCCGCACAAGCTGAAGCCAGACGATTGGCTGCATATCCGGGAGCTAAGATTCCGGATGCCAACAGTGAACCTGCCATCGATCGATATGATTGGCCGGCACCACCCTCACCCGCTGTCGTCATGATTGACAGACGTAAGTTGTCAATTTTATTGCCCTGTGGTGACCAAAAACGTCGATAAGCAATTTATAATATCCACATTTTGAACCATAAAAAGAAGGCCTTCCTCAATTGGGAGTATTGTTTATGAATTATGTTCCTCCTTAATGAGGGATTTAGACGTACATAAAGCCCTTGAGAGACAGTCTACCCCATGAATCAATTTCTAATCTATTCCTGGATTCCATACCGTATGAATCGTCCGTTTTAAAGTGCACTTAGAATCCATTCAGGTAAAATGCCATGAAGTTTATCGGCTTCATGCACCTTTGTGGGTAGGAATTGTTCGCGTTTGTTTGGAGCGTGAAATAACATGCCTCTGAGCCCTCCCCTCCCCCATTCTCGGGAGAAGGTGACTCAAAAGTGCAAGTTAAAAGGATTCTCTTATTGCATGCAGCACACGGTCACATTCTGTTTTACGCCCACTGAGTGCAAACTTTGGTTGATATCTGCTCATAAGGTAGAAATAGATCTGGTGAAAATGTGGATCTATTTTTTTTCGAATGCACAGCTAATGCGTCACAAGAGAAGTCAATTAAATGAAAGCATGAAGTTGTTTAAATCGACTTCGCTTCCTCATTTGGAAAGAAATGGTTGCAATTAAATTTATTCTTTAATTTTAAATTGCCGTGGCAAGCAGATTCTGGGAGGTGGGCTACAGAGTCAAGAATGGTTTGGTTAAATAAAAATATTTACAGATTTAATACGAAATCGAAATTAAAATAGCACTTCCTATTGACAAGGTAGCTTAACTTATATAGGCTTGAATAAGTGATAAATGATTGGCTGAGTGGTTAGATAATTAAAGCAACAATGCGTTCTCCATAAGTGATCATTTACTTATTTCTAATGGCAGGCGTTTTGATAGTTATCATTAGCAATTTAGCTGACTTTGGGCTTCACAGCGGGGAGGAACATCAGAGTCATAAAAAGTCAAGAGGTGGTGGGGGTGGGGGGAGGAAGAACAGAAGAATGATTCATAGATGTAAAAGAGACAAACAGAGAAAAGGTGAGTACTGTGGAAGTGGTCGAATATGCCATAGAGTGGGGTGGTGGTAGTTTGAAGTGAGAAGTCAACTGTCGGTTTATAGACTTTTTTGCCGTATGAGTATCGTTGACCAGGGAGCACCACTTGGAGGCAAGTCATAAGTGATCATGCATATCCAGGTGTGAGCGTGGAAATCCAGTCGAATCGATGATCTTGTGCGACGAAAATACCCGATTATGCCTCCTGAAGGGTAAATGTGCCCATCTTAGCCTTTTCTATACCTCTCTCTAGGCACCTGCAGGCACAAAGTGCCATCGAAAGTATAAATTAGACGATAAGAACTTACCGAAGCAGAAATTTTCATTTTCAGGTCAATTTTTAAGTTTAAATTAAGTTGGCTAATTTGATTACTGTGTTACAGGTTTATTTTAACGGATGTATTTGAGGAGAAGTGTGTTAATCACAATATATGTAGTATTTATTCGTAGACTGAAAAATAAGCATTTTATAACACTTAAATTGTCTGAAAACGTAGTAATTTCAAAAAAATATTAAATCAAACAATTCTGATATGATGTGGAAGCGAAATATACGTTCAGCATAGGTAGAAACAAGTGTTTGAAAATTTGCATCAGAATAGCAAATTAAGCTCCTCCATTCCCGAATGTACTAAAATGCACAAGATTCCAGCAACTATTTATCGATTTTTTTTCTAAAACGGCAACTTAATGTTACTTTCAGACACAATTTGCTATTGGTCTTCATTAGAACACCAAAAAATAACTACGGGTGTAACTGCATAGAACCTGCAAATAATTATGGTAGTTAGTGGTTTTAGTTCAAAGTAGTCAGCTTACTATAGGATCTATTCGTTTCCACCTTCTCCCTCTAATGTAGGCATTCAAATCATCTTCTATGTTTGAGGGCGCTAAGTTGCCAAGTCACTACGAGTTACCTTGGATAATTCTGCTTGGTGAATTAGGTTCTATGAATTAGATCGGATCCAAGTCTAGTGCTGCAAAGTACGTTTCTCAGTGGGCATCACAGGGTTAAACGTTTCTCAAAAGTGGGAAAATGGAGTCTCATAAATAGAAGTAATTTTCTTGAAGGCAGCATCTCATCCAGTGGTCAAATAAGTAGGATTTCCTGCTCTACGTCAGAATCATTAAACTGTTTGAATTCCCAGCAATTGAAAGAATAAAAGGACACACAATGAAAGATTTACACCAGTCAATAATGACTCAAAAAATTGTGGATAAGCATGTTCTCAAATCTGGAGGGCGATTCATGACATTTGAACTTTCGAACGTGAACTGCCTATCTGGTGGGAGATGATCAACTCGAGTTCTCAAGTCGAGTGAGTCAAGAATCGCTGTTACCTTGACATTCCCCTCTCCCTGCCTCTCCATTGGCCAGTTCCTTACCTCCTGTTTTCATCGGATAAAACTCAGGAAAATATATATGTTTGAATTACTCCGAATATTGATGATAATAATACTAAATAATATGCTTGAAACAAAATTAAATTTTTTTGCATTAGCCGAATCATTCAATTTCTAAAGAAATTATTTGACGTATTATTAAAGATCCTAGCAAAATTTCTCCTGATCCTTTTCTGCAAAAAAAAGTAAAATTCAATTTTTGTTAATATTTGCCATCGAAGTCATATAATTTTCATTGCTATCAACGATAATAGTTAAGCTAAGAAAGGAAATTATCTTTCCTAAAATCACTTCATTAGATTCCCCTTTCGAATAATTAATAAACTCTTAATCGCTGTGAATACAAATTTTAAAATTCTAACTCAAATCGTAACAATTTAATGTGTATCTCTTACAAAAATATGTGATAGTTCAAGAATATACATTCAAGGTGTGCTTATAATTGTACGAAGTACAAATTAATTATTTATCGAGTCATTTATTATTATTATTATTATTATGCAAAAGGTGATTACTTATTTGAAATCGTCATGTGAATACCAACATGTCCATTCCTGATGACCTTTAAATTGACAATAATTGTCAATTTACTCCATCCACTTGCAATTATGCACAAAGACTTTTAATGGATGAATTGGAAATGACAACTTGGGATAGAAAAATTGCGTTTTGGAAATGATATGTGGAATGCGAGGAGGTTATAAAATTTTTCAGAATTTAGGAAAAAACGAGACTAATCCAATATCAAATAGCAGTAATTTGGATCAAAATGGATTTGTTAACTTGGCGGGTAGTAGTAGTCAGTTGGCAAGTCTCCTGACGGAGGCTACACGGTTGACTCTCATCGGTGAACATCCAGTTGTGTGGAGGGTTGGTCGCACTGTTTAATTCTGGACAAAGTCTCAATTTTTAGCTCTTCGCACGCAGTTCCCCTTCACCACTGCTTGTTGTAACCTAATTTAGCAGTTGTCATGTTGTCAGGTGGCAGTAGTGGAGTTATTTTGATTGATTAGGCACATTGGCAGCCACGTTTCTTTGTCACTTCTCCTTATAATCCTTCCATGCACTCTGGAATGCAGAAATTGTTATTTTCATTCTGATGTTTGTTCCGAATCTATATATATATATATATATAACAGAAAGTCATGGGTTCCATTCTTCCTCGAATTTGCTAAAGAAAAGAGTCGTGAATGAGCACACATTTGGAGTCGATATTATGATGACCTTCAGGGCCGTTGAAACTTAAAAACAAGTTTCGAATATCTGCTTTGTTTATCAGGAGGTATTATTTGTGCACCCTCGTGTTTCTTTGATAAGTCTTCCCGATATCAATTGGGGTTTCGCCTCACCGGTGGAAAATCAATATTTTTGACCACTTGACGGCTTTGTCATTCCCCTTTTAATATCTTTAGACCAGCCAACCAATTTCATCTTTTCAACTCGCTAATAGATCAAGAAATTCAACTTGGGTTCTCGCAGAAAATGATCTATTTTTCTTTAAAGAATTATCTTTCGGTTTCATTTCTGTTTTTGTTAGAACGGTGAAGCAAAGTGTTGAGCACAGCACCAAATTAAAACAGCAACTTTCGAATTACCCAACTCTCGTAAATTGCAGCACCTATAGTCGAATCGTAAAACTCTTTTCTCAAATGTGGCCTCTCTTAGCGTTGACCATAGAGCCACTTATTATGATAATTAAAGGCGTGCAGTTCAGTTGTTCGTTTGGCTGAGTGATGGAAGGAGCCAATTGGAGTATGCAAATTGTTTGTGCCCTGAATTGTAACACATATCTAAGACCTGCCAAGTGGTGGTGGTGGTAACTGCACACATGAGTCAGACCCTGTGTTCGCTTGCCATTCAACCCACAGTTCACACACACACACACACACACACACACACACGATTATATATGTATATGTGATACAATTCCTGCAATTTCAGGAATTCCAGTTAAGCTAAACCAGCATGTGCTCTCGTATGAACTTGAAGCGTAAAAAGCATTCTTATGGGGGGAAGACCTCATTCTACCGCAAGGCAGAAAGATGAAATAGGTCTACTCTGCCTTTCCCTGTGAAGGCCTTTTAAATTTAACTGACCATTTGACACGTCAGTGTATGACGTTTTTGACCGCAAAGTGGCAGGTTACACTTTTTTGTCCAATATGACCGAATACTCTGCAGTTAGTTCTTCTTGTGAAAAACTTTATGCGATCTTAGAGTGTTTGTATAAAAACAGCGCTCATTTTATTTATTTATTTCGAATGGCAGGCGGTCTGATAGTTATCATTAGCCTCTTAGTCGACTTCGGGCTTCACAGAGAGGAGGAGGAACATCAAAGTGACAAAAGTAGAGAGGGAGGACAGAATAATGATTCACAGATGTAAAAGAGACGGACTCAAAGGTAGAGAGTAGGGTAAGGTGAGAACTGTGGAATTGGTGGAATATGGCACACAGTGGGGTCATGGTAGTTTGAAGTCAGTAGTCAACTGCCGGTTATTAGACTGTTTAGTCGTATGATGAGTATACGTTTGGCAAGGATGCACCACGTGGAGGTATGTCTATCGAACACTCCGCGTTCATTTTATCAATCACC